TATTACGCTAAAAACATAAATATTACGTAACCTTACGCCGTAATATTTGCATAAGTTTACAAATCGTAAATCTTACGTAATACTTCGCATTAAAAATATTCCTGATGTCAGATATAGCTATTCAGGTTAAATTCAACCATAAATCAGCCTAAAATTGATCTTAATTCAGCATCATTCAGCATTAATTTGAAACTTAAATAACATAAATTAGCTTAAAATTAATCTCAATATAATATCATTTGGCATCAATTCAGAACTTAAATAATCATAAATCAGCCTAAAATTGATCTCAATTCAGCATCATTCAGCATCAATTCGAAATTTAAATAATCATAATCAGCCTAAAATTGGTCTTAATTTGGTATTAATTCAGTTAAATAAGTATTTAAAATCGATATATTATATTGAAAATTTCTTAATATACACAGTGTGTGTGTACATATATCACATGACGTTACATGACTTTTCAAAAAAGAAAATTTTGCTTCTTATCAAAATCGAGATTAGGGTCTGATAAATAATATTACGCAATTTCCTTTTTTGGAAAGTCGTATAACATCACGTGATATATGTACTACGATTTATCACGTGAAACTAATTAAATCATAGTTATGTTATTGTTTATCAGACATATGAAGTCTTACCAACAATAAAAATAATTTCTTTTTTGCCAAAACGAAAAAAATTTTCTTTAGGTTAAACAAAATGGCATGTTGCAAGAAATATCGACCCCACAAGAAATAAAGAACACGTTAATAATTAATATATATCAAGAAAGCTACAATGATATAAATGATAAAAATGTCAATATCGATTCACAAGTAAATACTTCCGCTTCTCTTTAGTTTTTGTTATCACCTTTTTTTTGGTTTTGTTCACCAACTCTTTTTAATTTTTTTTCCTTTCTTTTGTTTGTTAGGCGTCTATTCCTTCAAACAACTTCATTTCTAGTGACAAATATGGAAATGATCATCAGTATCTGGCTAAGACCATTTAAAACAGGCAGTCTTCTTTAATAGAAGAAAAGTTTGATGAAAATAATCATCAGATTACCATTCTTATTCAAACTGAAGAGCCTTTAGTGGAGAAACATTTTGATAGAGATTATCATCAGATTACCATTCCTATTCAAATCGGAGAGTCTTTAGTAGAGAAAATTTTTGATGATCATCAGGTAACCATTCAAACCGAAGAGCCTTTAATGGAGGAACTACTTGATACTGATTCAGAAGAAACAGAGGATCTGTTTGAATTAAAAATTGGTCTTACCTTTACGAATTGGCTAGAATTTAAAATCTGATTAGATAATTTTACCAAAAAGAAGAGGTTTAATTATAAAGTAAGAAACAGCCAGACAGATAGAGAAATAATGCGTAACATTATTTATGAGTATTCAAAGTCAGGCATCCATGTTCTGCAAGTAACTTCTGATCCAGCCAAGCGACGAAATGCATCTTCACAATGTACACAATGCCCTTGGAAGCTTAATGCTTCTTGTTCCAAATCAAGTAATATTGTAAAGATTAATTTACCTGTGAACCTCTACAATTTAAGGGATAATAAGAGTATTTTTATTATATTTATTTAAAGAGTTGACTGTACTATTAATGTAGAAAAATTATAAAATTTTTATTTATAGTATTGGAACTTCTTTATATAAAAAATAGTATTATATAAGTTTAAGTTTTTAAGCTTCTTTTCTTCATACTTATGAAAAAAAGCATTTTGTATCTTAAATTAAAAGAAAAAATATATTATTAAAATATACTGAGAATCCATTTAATAAAATAATCTATAAATAAAATAATAAATAAGATATAGTAAAAAAAAGAATAATTAAAAAATTTACTAGCATATAACATTTTGGTTTTATAATCTGATTAAAAGACTAATTCAACAGTATTAAATACTTAAATATATTCTTAATTAAAATTTTAAAATAATTATTTAATTATTATATAAAAAAAAACTATAGCAAATATTAATTAGAAATTTTTTTACAAATTAAGCTGAATCTAAGAATCTAATAATTAATTTTGAATCTACTTTATATGTTATATATTCAAAGAATATTAATTTAATGAGTATGAATTAAGTGTATAATAAATTATATTAAAGGTAATTAGTGCAATAAATATAACTTCTTAATTATATAAAGAATATAAGTAAATATAATTTTTATTATTATTTTCTATAATCAAATATTAAAACAAAATATTTTTATATTAGTATCAATTATAAAAAAATTGCCAAATGAAAAAGCAAATAAAGTATTATTTGTTATTTTATATTAAAGTAGATTTTTTACTAACACTTCAAAAGATATTCAAATATAATATACACTCCCCTAAAGAAAGTATCTAAATACAATTTATTGCAAATTATAGCTTAATTTTATTATATTTTTAAATAAATTTTTATAATTATAAAGTACATATTCTTGTATATCTATTAGCTATATTTTATTATTATTTTGAATTAATTTATATAACATATTCATAAAAAATGAGTTTAATTCTTTAATAATATTGCTTTACCAATCATTTTTACTATTCTTAATTAAATTTTTTTAAATATAACAGAAGCAAAAAATTAACTGAATCTAAACATGATCAAATTATTAGTCTTCATAAAGGTAGTTACAGTCAAAGAAATATTACTAATATTACTAATATTCCTAAATTAATAATCTACTAATACTATTTTTCTTTACAATAATAAAAAAGTGCATTTTATCCAAAATAGTCACAAAAAATAAACAATAAAAATAAATATATTTTAAAAGTAATAATTAAAGAAAACAATTATAATAGTACTAGATAACTTTAAAAAAATTTGAAAAAATTACTAATGTTTAAGTATCAACTAAAACATTAATTAAAGAATTATGTCAAATTAGACTTTTTCTTATATTGTAGCAAAAAATTCTTTTATAAATGAGGTATAATATATTAACTAATTAAATTAGTATTTAGAAAGAAGATTCTAGGATATTTTTAAATGGGAAGAAATAATTTGAAATAATGAATTTCATTTTAAAATCTTAAAAGTGATAATTCTTATCATATTTAATATACTTTTGATGAATGTTTTAATATTGAAAATTTGTTACCTATAGTAAAATATAGAAATAGCGAAGTAATAATGTGGAATTGCTTTTTAAATAAAGATTTTGAACTATTAGTTAAAGTTAAAAGAATCTTAAATATATTTAAATATATTGAAATATTAGAAAAATATTTATTATTTTGAATAAAATTAAATTTTTGTAGTGAAAATTATTTTTTAAAATGACAATATTCTCATTTATATAGCTAAGGATGTAAAAGTATGAGTATAAAAAAAAACTTAAAATTGTTTAATTGGCTATTCTAATCTTCAGATTTAAACATAATTGAATACTTATAAGACGAGCTTGATAGACAAGTTAAAAAATAATTATAATATCCTAAAAATACATTAAAATTGAAGATTACTTTACAAGAAGAATGAGTGAAAATTTCTAATACATTTATAAAAAATTAATAAAAAGTATGCTAAATAGAATAGAAGAGTGTATTAATAGGAATAAATGACTCACAAGTTATTAAATATAAAAAAATTTTAATAAAAATATTTTTTTTTAAGTATCCAAATATTTTTTTAGAAGAATATATATTTTTTAATATACATTTACCAATAATAAAAAACTTCTAATAGAAAATAATGTATTTTTTTAAAATTTCCAATAATTTACTTATAAAAAATTAAAATAAAATTTAAATAGTATATTTTAATTTTCTTTACATATAAAAATTTAATGCATAATTATTTTTTGAATTATTTATTTGTAAAAAAAATATAATACAAAAAAAAAATTTTTTGTAAAATATTATTACATATGTAATAATTATTAAATTTTATATATAAAGATTAAATATTTTAACTTCTCTAAGATGATTTTTAATGTGAATTAAGCCTTAATTAATTTGTATAAAAAGGTTAAAATTTATCATATTAGTATCTTATTTTTCTAAAGTTTGAGTATATAGATTTGATAAGTTTCTTCTTAAAGAAATAATTAATCCTATATTTTAGATTTTGAATCTGCTTTTCTAATTTTGTAATTATTTCTCTATATTATCAATATAGGATACTTTATCTTAGGCCTTCTTTTTAGCTTAGTATAAGTTTCTTTTAAGGGATGATATTTTTAATCTTAATTCTTTCTTTTTCTCTTCTGAAGCATTCTTAAGCTATTTCAATTCTTTATTAAGGGATTAGATTTCATTTTCATACTGGTTATACTTATGCTCTAACTTATTTATATATTTTTATTTGATCTGATAATTAAACTTTGTGCTTATCTCTCAAAGTTTGATTTATCTACTCCAGTTCCAATTCTCAATTAGATACTGACTTATGAGATATTTGATTAGGATGTAATCGATGAAATATCATGATTATTTTTATGATACATTATATTATCTTATTTTCTTACTTTACTAAAACATTACAGTAAAATATATCAAAATGAGCTAACCTACTATTACAATCAATAGAAATAAAGAATTAGATCTAGTTTGCTAGCTACTTTTTATTAACCAGCTGGTTATCACTCTAATTCTTAAAAATTATATAAAGATCTCAAAAAGGAAAGATATTGATTCTCATTCAAAAAGTGCGAGACTAGCTTATAAATCAGAATAAATAGCAAAAATACATATTATCTTCAAAAGATATTTTCAGGATGAGTTATAATAAAATTTACGTTCTAATTGTATATACCAGCAGTGTGTAAAATTCATGTGCACAATGTGCACATGTGCACATTAAATTTTTATGTGCACATATTACACAGCATAAAATGTGCACAAATAATTACTAAAAATAGATAAATTATATATAAAAATGGATAAATTATTTATAAAAATGGAAATACTATGTAATATATGCATTAATTTTCTATTTTTAGTATAACTTGTGCACATAACTTTTGGTCTAAATTTTATACACTGTATACCAGTGTGACTTTTTATTTTTTACTTATAATTATTATAAAGGTAAAAATGGATGGCAATATTAAATATAATAGATGTGAATAGTCAGTTTAAAGTTTTAATTTACTTACATTAAAAATTCAGAAGTTGTCAAAGCATTCAGAAAAATTTACAATAATCTAAATAATCTCCTTATATATCTAACCCTTTTGCAATGTAATAGTAGATCAGAGTTTAAAAAATTGGTAAGTCAATTAATTTAAGAATATAATGTAATAATTCAAGTAGCTAGTGCATATTCTTATTAGAAGCTTACTCTCATTGAAAAATTTAATAAAATTCTAGCAAAGATGCTTTACAAAATTTAATATATTATTAAAAATATAACTTTATACTTTAAATTAATAAGAATGTAAGTGAAGTATTTGCCAGAAGTTATTGATTATCTAAATAATTATTCAACATGTTTCATTATAGCTTCTAGGTTAAAGAAATGGGGATTAATGCCTATAAAAGCAATTAAGTTAGAAAAGGTATAATCTAGATTATCTACAAAGTATAAGCATTCTGTTAGGAAATATAAAAAAAGTAGGTTAAAAAAAAGAGACTCTGCTTGCTAATGCAGAATGGAAAAGTAGTATAAAAAATCAAAGACATATAATAGATCCTACATTCAGTTTAAGCATTTATAAAATTTGCAAAATTGTAGTAATAAAAAATAAACTAGTTTATATTATCTCGAAAATGATGATGATGAATATACTTCAAAATAAGGATTTGTGAAAGAGAAGCTTATATACATAGATCTAGAAAAATTCAATATTTACCTTAAAATATATTAGAAGAAAACACTTAATTCAGATTAGTTCATTTCATTCATATTATTAATAAAATAACTAATGCTATTACATATACTAAGAAGCGTAATGAAAAATATTATGATAAATCTGAATAAATAAATAGTTTTGATGTATATCATTAGTCCTGTAAAAATAAAAAGCATTAGTGAAAATATCTATATTTATTAATCAAAAATTTTGAATAGTATCTTTTATGTTATTATATGACTGAAAGAAAGGTAAATTTTATTTTAAAGATTTATTAGGTAAAATTTCTCATCATATTCTAATTCATTTTTGGAAGGCTTACATTTAGATAGATATAATAAAGAATTACAATTAGTTTTTGAATTCTAAGAATTATAGCACTACAGTCTTAATTCAATATTTCATAAAAATCAAGACAATCTAGATGCACAAAAAAATATGATCAATAAAAGTAGGATATATATAAAAGAGAAGATATAGATCTCATTAAAATTAGCTTTGATACAGATTTATTTTCTTATATAAAAAGTAAATTACAAAGAAGGGTTATTTATCACATAAAGAATAAACTCATAAGATTATTATTTTTCAATGTAATAATTTAGCATTATTTATCTTAATTAATATGAAAATAGAAAAGCTCAACTCTGTTAAGAGAATAGTTTTAAATATAGATGAATATAAAAATCAGAAAGATTTAACTTATTAAATAGTATACCCTAATGGTTTTTTAACTTATTAATTAGTAGGTAATCAGATCAGGAAAAATTAATGAAATTTTGATAAAATATCATATTAATGAACCAAAATATAATATTTAAAATATTGTTATAAAATAATTGCAAATAGTCTAAAGTCTTATTGTAAAAATGCTATATTTTGAATAATAAAGTACCAAAATTAATGATTTCTCTTCTAAAAGATAAATAGTAGTTATATTTGAAGATTATATATTAAGCCTAAAAAATACAAAATAATATTGCTTTGTATCTTAGTAAAAGGTAATATGCTAATATTAGTTCAATATATATAACACAAAGCTTTTTTAATTATTTTAAACTAATAAGAAAAAATCTTGATTATATTGTTCTTTTCAATGATAGTAGCATATATGATAAGCTAATCAATACTACTAAGTGATATATGAAAAATTAATATAATGTTATTAATATACTTGATAAAAATTTGCAAGGTAGAGAATTTATTATTATTAATTTAACTAAAGCAAAAGAAATACTCTATATCTTTGTAAGAGTTAGAATACACCTTTAAAATAGATAGATAGAATGTAATTTTAGAATAATAGAATTTTAAGTACTAATCAAATTCTGCTATTGTAGTTAGAATAGATGTAAAATAACAAATTCAATTTATTATCTACACTAGGGATTTTTATGCCTTATATATATAAAGATAAAAATTAAAATAAAAAGCTATTAATCATCACGAAATAGTAGTAAATAAAAGTCTAAAGTATCAGTCCTTAGGAATACCTTAGATGGTTTATTTTAAAGATATATATATAAATAAGTTATATAATAAATGATATATATATTATACATTGTTAATTTGTCATATTTCTTTTTGAACTGCTTATAATAATTAGTAATATTGAGTAAGTTCTGAAGTATAGAGATCATCAGATCTGTAAAAATATTCTAGTCATTTTTGTTATATTATCTACCAATTTCTCTTGCATATTTAACTCTTCTAATAGTATTCTACATTTACAATTTATAATAATGAACTTCTTTTTTGAAGTAGAAGTTACTAACTTTAGATCTACTTTTAAGTTTTATATAGTCTTTATAACTAATGTTATAATAAGTATTAGTATTTTTGAGATTATGCGATTATATTGAATTAAAAGATTTAGATCTATTTGATTTAATAACTTTATATTCTAGAATAATATGATTCGATTTTAGTCTAAATATTCAAAGAGTACTTTATAAGATCTGGATTCTTGAACTATTTCTTCAAATATGTTATAATAGTCATATTTTGTGAGTGATATATATGATAAAAATAAAAGAGATGCATATTATATTGTAATAAAAATTGTAATTTAGAGTTAATTCTAAAGAATTTATTTGTAGCGATATTTATGTATAAATTGTAACAAATAATCTTAAACTACCTATACGAGATAATAATATAATAATAAATTTAAAAATTTTGTAAGAGATCATACTATAAACGTTTTATTTTATATTTATATACTAAGAAAATATATTTTCTAATAGCATATATAATAAAATTTTACCAGTTAATGGAACAGTATATAGCTGAAAGTAAAACTGGAAAGAGAAATAAAACTGGTAAACAATATTTGAAAAATTTTATCCTTATTTTTGGGAATGACCCAGTAAGTTAATCAAATATAATATACTTTATTATAATAGCAAATATATAATTTATGAAATTACCTTGCACATGAAAATACAGAAATACCATTTGACTTAATATACAATGTAAATATATTCACAAAAAAACGTACTGTAACTGTATTCTATCATTATCTTATGAATTACTATCAATCTTAAATATAAATCATCATAAATCTACTACTAATTAAAGAAATTAATTTGTGTTTCTTGCTTGAAGAATTCCTAGTAAAAGGGATGAGAATAGTAATCAAAATAATATAATATATTTATCTTCATCTGTGTTGGTAAATATTATCTCAGCACTTAATATATCTGCATCATAAAATAATAGTAATTTTAGTATACCCAATATAGGAGAAGCTAATCAACTACTAGAATCTATAAATAAGAAAATTTAGATTTTGTCTTGCTATGTAAAATTTCGTCTAAAAAGTAATAAATTTTATTGCAAAGCAATAGTTTTTAAAATCTACCCAAATATTTGATTATATTTTTTGTCTTAACATTTTTTTAGGATCACAGATCTCACAAATTTCTTCACAAAATTATGTTTTTTTGATTTATAGGTAATATAGATATTCAATTAATATATATCACATATTATATCACAGAATAAATTAGAAAGTCATGAAACTTTTTATGTATGATATAAGATAAAAGCTCATTATAAAGTAATAATCATGTAATCTATTGATTATTTACTATAACTAAATTTTTGAAATAAAATCATATACCTAAAAAATTAATTATATAATATAAAATTTGATCAATACATCACATAAATACCAAAGAAGAAAATCAAAGGTCATGGAACTTCTATATGTATGATATAATTGTATGATCTTCTAACTAATATAAAAAATCAAATTTGAATATTTTTTTGTGAAAAGTTTTTCATCATGCATATTTACATAATAAATATCTATGAGCTTTCATCACTCCAGTTTCATATTTTCTAAATCTATTATTCTTATACCTAAATAAAGGCAGAAATGTGTGAATAAAAACGTTTTAAAAGGATAGTATACAAATTTATTATTACTTGACACTTTTATTGATTCTACTTATTTTTTTGCGATTTTTCTTACTTTTACATTAACGTTAAAATATTTTAATCTTTTTTATAATAATTTAACTATATAAATATATCTACTACTACAGGATTATACAAAAAATTTTATGATTTTTTTCATAATTCCCTCTAGAATATATTTGCAGTTTTAATAATCCATCAAATAATAGAAAAAGAGCTGTGATTTTTAAAAGAAGATTCAAGATAATAGATTTATAATGTGATCACAACTATAAAAATAAGCTTAAAGAAAATTCAGAAAAATATAGAAAATTTAATAAGATTCCTTTTAAGGTTAGTTTGTTTTATACTCTTAAAGTTATTTTTTTATTACTGAATAATGAATTTTGATAACTGGATTAAATTGATATTCAGAATCTGCAAGTATAGGTTTAATCACTAATATATTAATCCTTAAATACATGAAAATATCTTCTTTATCTTAGTTTAAGATGGATAATTATATATAAATTATGTGAATTGTCATCTATGTGCTGATCACGTATAGTTGATGATTTTATATAATATATTTTGAAGTATACGTATATGTTTTTATTATAAGTTTCTCTAAAGTAATTAAATCTAACTTATTTATTTCTGTGCTAGTTTTATAATATCTTTGAAGATGTATGTAGCTTTTAAAATATTGATTTGTGAAGCAAGATGAACAGGTATCTATTGAGAAGATTAAAATGAATATATAGAAATTAAAGTTGAATCTTGGTAAAAGTTCAGCTTCATACGCTAAAAAATTAAGCAAATACCTTAAAAAAATCAAACCTTTTGGTCTTTTATGAAAAGATCTAAAGCAAGTCAAGTACTTAGTTACAATTTGAATATTATACAGTAATTGTCTATAGAAGTAGAAAATGAATATAAATATTTTATAGAGCAAGTAGAATATATAGAGAGATTAATCTCTTATCATATCAGAAATATATGTAATAAATTTGTGATGACTTATAGCAATACCTTATATGAGAAAATTCCTATTGAAATTTCACATGAAAATTGGAAGAAATCAGAAGAAGTTCTTGAAGAAATTGCATCTGAAATTCTCAATATAATGTATATATAATATGGATTTTTATTCTAAAAAAATATTGATTATATTTTTTCTATTATTGAAACCAGAGGAGAAGTTTGAAAGAATCTAGCATTTGAGATAAGTTCGTTAATCTCAAAATAAAGGAACATATGTTACAGATATTATAGTTTCTATGGTAAAAGTTTCATTAAAAAAATTGTTAATAAAGAATTTCACTTTTGTTAGCATGTAAATATAATATTCTTTATCTTTTCTGAATAATCATACATTTATATTTTTTATTTATTTAGAGCAAAATAACAGAATATAGCAAGTAAAGATTAGAGAGAAAAGATTGGCAAACATTCTAATATTATATTTATAATAAAATGTGAGAGAAAAATCTATAAATTAATGTTGGGCAGATATTCTCATATTTTTTAATAAAGATAAAAAAGAAAATGATTGGATAAAGTTATGATAAAATATGAATAATGATATGTATTGAATACATAAAGGTTATAAACCAAAAAAAATAAATTCAAAATTATTGGAATGCAAATTGTTAGACAAAAACTTTATCTGAATATCCTTATTTGAGATAAAGATAATATAAATAAGCTTTTTAAATTACGTTTAGTAGATATCTCTATACAATTCATAAATAAAGATATTGTTTATAATTTTATAAAAACATTGTTATTATTTTAGATATGGATTTACTTATTTATGATGTTATTTTTTTATAACAAAGATTTATTTAACTTTTTTCATAAAAAATTCTAATTATCAATATATCATTATTATTAAATAAAGATTATAATTTATATAAAAATAAAAAAGATAGTTTAATAGTATCATCCCCTTCATATGAAATTAAACCTTCATTATTATCTATATTATTTTTATTTATATAGGATGTTTTTTATTGATATTTTTCATTTTTGCAGGATCAGAGATATATATTAAAACCATTTATTTGACTTGTTCTTGCTAAGATACGTCCTGTATTTTATTTTATTTTTTACTATGTTAATAAAGTAGCTCTAGTAGCTTAATTTTATATATAATTATATTTATTTTGCATTAGTATTTTTAGGATTTATTTTATGATTTTTTAAGAAATTTTCTTTTTTTTTTTACTTTGTGATATCACTTTAGATATATAATAGTCACAGTCTTATATATATGCTTATTCTCTGATCTTAAAATAGATGTGAAAGAATCAGATTCAGATACTATAATATTTTTGATAATAGCCTCTTCATATCTTTTTTTTTTTTGATATAAACTAATGCAACAATATTGGGATTTGTGAGAATAAGAAGTAATATTTTAATAAATAGATACGTTTGTGACTGAATAAGTTATTTTGATCTCTTTTCACTAATTATTAGAAATAGTTAAACCTGAAATTTATCAAAAAATTATTAACTTAATAGTAAATCTGAATATTCTCAAAAAATGATATTTGAATTGCTATAGTCTTGATATAACTCTTATAATTACCCCTATTCTCAAAAAAAAAAAAAGTCATTCATAATTATTTTTTAGATGAAGATAAAGATGAGTTTTTATTTGAATCTGAATCTTGCTTTTATTCTGAAGATACTGAGTTTGAATCTGATGATGAATTTGATTTTAATAATAAAATGATTATACATGTGTTGAAAGTAAAGAAGTGTGATTAGTAATTAATCTTGATTATAAATATAAAATAGAAGGATTTCTAGAAAAATCAAGTTCTAAGAAATTTTTGATTTAAATTAAGAGTTAATACATTTTAATCTAATAACATCAAAAACTAAAATGTAAAAATTTTCAGAATCTGATTTTCTTAGAAATCAACCTAAATAGTCTTACTTTCTCAGAATCTTAATCTCTATTATGATAATTAATTATAATATAATGTTGAATTGGAGAAATATGATTGTCAGATGCATCTCTTAGATATTCTCTAGTAATTGTCATAATACGTCTTGAATTCTTTACTTTATATATTATAGCATCATATACTGCTTTCATTTTTTGTAAATAATGAGAAATTAAATTATAGTCTTTTAAAAATCTATTAAACTATTTAACTTTTAGCTTACTTAAGTCACCTATCGGCTAGAAATTATAGCTTTTTGTATTTAACTGAGTAGTTTTTTAGCTTATTCTTAAATTTTTTCTATAAACCTAAATTATCTAGATATATCAGAATTATTAGGTGATATTATTATGTAACATTTTTTAAGATTTATAACAATTACGTATGTAATATATACTTTATTTAAAAAAAAAATATTGTCAAAATAACTAATAAATAAAAAAATAATACAATGAAAACACTACTTACTATTGGAATGTTTGAATATTTAAATAAATTATAATATAAATATCTTTTTCAGAAGATTGCTGGGAAAATGATCAAAAATATTAAGCATTGAAATCAAAGCTTATTCTTTATCATATTTTTCATTATTCATACTTATTATCACTTCTTCAGCATTAACTAACACTTTATCTAAATTTAAAGTAATTACATAGACTTCAAATTCAGTAATTGGAATATTATCAAATCAGTGAGTATGTTCTTTTTAATTTATGATCTGAGAGAATAGATGGATTCTTTGTTATTAATTTTGATTGTAATGATATATTATTATATAATTCTTCTAATTGAATTGCTAGATATAATAAGATAATTAAGCCTAATTTCTAGCATTTTATTTTTTCTAAATATAAATGTTTATAGTAAATAAAGTTTTGTTCGTACAGATGCAATAATCCTTTAAAATATTTTTTTCTAAAAATATAATCAACCCTCTTTAAATACACTGCCTCTAAATACATATACTATATATTTTCTCTCTAAATGCATGCTTTTGTTCAGTCTCAAATATATAGAATTCATATAAAAATATTCTCTTTAAATACACATTTTTTAAAATTTTTACTATAGTTCTAAGAAAATGCATTTAGAGAGGATTAACTATATATAATAAATATATTATCTTAAAATTTTACAGAAAAATTAGCTAAATTTTCACATATCCTACATGCTTTCTATTTTGCTAGAAAAAAGTTAAAGAGGTATAAGATATAATTAACATTTTCATATGATATCAAAAGTTTTATGAAGACACATACAAATATAATTTTCATATTTTTTATATGGAGATCTACCTACAAGACCCAAAGGTAGTTTGTTCTTATAGATCTTAAAATTACAAAGTTTTCAACATTTCATAGTATATGCTTTTGTTGTTTATATTTATTTTTACAGTAAATTCTGTATTGCAAGTGAACACTTATTTACATTTTTCTCATATTTATATGGAAAAAAATAAAAGTACTTATTAGAATGAACTTAAAATATTTAAAATCTTATTTCTCAAAATAAAAAAAGAAAATGAAGAAAATGAATAAAAAAAATAAAAACTAATTTTAAAAAAAATAGTTGAAAAAATAGTAAAAAAAAGTAAAAAAAAAAGCAAAAAAAAATGTATTTTAAGAATAAAAAAATAAAAAAAAAAAAGATTAAAAAAAAAGCAAAAAAACATGAAAAAAGTGAAAAAAAAATAATATAAATACAAATAAAAAAATAAAAAAAATTCTAATAAAAAAAGAAAATAGAATAATTAGTAAATATAAATTTATCAAAATAAATTGTTAAAAATATAAAGAGTTATTAAAAAATATTTGTATTTACAATTTTTTGCTGTCAAAAAAAAAATACATTTATTATTAAGTATAAATTTGTCAAAATGTTAAAACTTTAAAAAAAGTTTATATTTACTACTTTGAATTGGTGGTTCTATTACTGCTATTGCTAAAAAGAAAATAAAGTTATTACTAAGGATAAATTTGTTAAAATGTCAAAACTTTTAAAGAAAGAAGTTTATATTTATTACTTGAAGCTAATTGCTTAACTACTACTAAAAAAAAATAAAGTTTAAACAAAATATAAATTTGTCAAAAAAATTTAAACTGTAAAAAATAACTAGGTCATAATATATATATATTATGACCTAGTTGCATTAAATTGTTACCTAGTTATGAGTAAATTGTTATATACTTACTTGTTTTCATGTTCTATAACCTTTTTATTACTTTATTGCTATCCACTTGATTTTATTACTCTGTAGCCTTTTTATTAATTTGTAGATATTTGCTTGTTTTTATTACTCTGTGGCCTTTTTGTGGCCAAGATACTAGGCTGATGTTTATTGCATAAATCATGTTTTGATCAGGTGGCGCAGTAAATTTGCTAATCAGATTTTGGCCAGCACTATGCTATATTTTGACCTGATCTTTAGGGCGGAATATCTTGGCTTTCTGTAATTGGATTTATATAATTTTGAGCTTGTTTGAAAGAGCTTTCCAATAATGTTAAGATCGCATGAATCGGATGCTTGGATGCCAAGATATTGCATCCTGAAGTTTAGGCAAAAATATGGATTATAGTGCTAAGCAAAATTAAGCGAATCTATACTGCGCCTTACTGCACCAGTTACGTGATACTGTCTGGTGCTGGAACACCTTCACATAGTTGCTTTGTCATTTCTTGATTGCTGAATGAGGCACATGCGAAGTGCTGAATTTGCAATCCATCTATTTGCTGAAGATGTTCTGCAATCCATTCACTCACTTTTTGATTGCCAGGTTGAGGCATGAAGTGCCGAATTGGTAGCCTAGATGCGTAATCCTACCTTCCATAACCCTTTTGATTGCCAAGGATGAGGCATGAAATGCTGAATTTATGCCCATTCTTACAATCCCGCTTCTTATATGTCCTTTCTGATTGCTAAGTGAGGTACATGCAGAGTGTCGAATTGGTTCAGGCTATACTGTTTTCATATCATTTTTCATGTATTCTCCTGAACCTTTCTGCCTTTCTGACCTCTTTCCTGCCTATTACTGGTAGTATTTATAAGCATAATTTTCTATTTTATTTTCTATATATTATTCTACCCGTAGATACTACCAAATCTATACCTTATTTTTCGCTCCTACCTTTCTTGAATCCTTTCTTACATAGTTGCTACGAAAAGATGAATACTTTAGGGTATTACTATACTGATTACTTTTGGGTACTATCACATCGATTGCTTTTGGATACTACTACTGACCTA